TTTTTTTAGTTTAAAAGAAGTATACTAATAGCACACTTGATTAAACTTCTTTTTCGTAAGGGAAGGACAGTTTAATATTATACTGTAATGTTCGCTCTGTTGGTGTTTCTCACTTTTGAACTGCTACACTTAAGAGATCTTTAAAAGACAGTGTGATCACTTTGATAAATACCAAATACATTAATCATGATCTTTTCTCAAGCTCCAATCCCTGTCTGGTCTGTTCTGGTTTTAGAGAGGTTTTGGGTGCTGTCTGAGACCGTATGGCCATCCAGCTAAACCAGCATGGTCAACAAACTAGCTTAGACTGGTTAAAGCGGGTTTGTTAGCATGGTCGTGAGCTATGACTTTAACTTCTATGATGGGAAGTGATGGAGCCATATTTTAATTTTACACACAACACATGGAAGATGTTTAGTGGCTTATTAGTGTTGCAGTGGTGTATCTAATATTGTTTTTATGGCTGGTTGTTAGAACAAATATGCTTTTTTATAATTACTTTTAATGTACTAACAAATCCAAATAATACCAAATTCATAAAACATAAATTCTGTGATGCAATAGGATGACAAAGACTAAGGGATGGGGCCTAGATGAGAGACTGAGAGAAGAGCACATGGTACACAGAACCAAACAAAAGTCATGCAGAGTTGCCAAGTCCTCTTATAATACGTGACTTTTTTGGGGGCTTCTAGTGTGATAAAATTGGCTTGCTTGTTAGGCTTGGTTGCTTGTTAGGGAAATCTGACAAGCAACGTTCTTTACATTTACGTTCGCCGTATCCTCCAATGCATTGATTGGCACTCTGTCTGCTCACAGTTAATAGCCAATTTGTCAAACATTCTGCCCCCTCCTCCCCCTCATTGGAGAAAAATCACGTTCAACATGAAGGCGTGCGTGTGTTGTTATTCAAAACTGTTGTTGTCAATTAGGAAATGCATGAACTGATATGTATAGGTCTACTACTGAATGCAATGTAGGTTGCTTTGGAAAAACGCATCTGCCAAATGCATTAATGTAAATGTAATGACAACCTATTATTATAACTAAATGTAATGACAACCTCTATTAGAAATGTCATGAATTCTTGTTATCTCAACTACTTAACTGTGTTGTTATTAGCTGTGACATCATTCATAAAGCATTTGTGTCATGTTATATTATAAACTTTGACTGTAAGATATAGAGATGTGAGTATAGAGCACAACACGGGGTGTGTTTGACTGTAGTTTGGTGATCTCATGTTAATGACATAATTACAAATCACTCACATGCTGAATGGCAGCGCAGCACACTGAACTTATGGATGGGAGTGAAGGGGAGGATATTAGCTTTAGCACTGGAGAGGTTAGACTATATCCTAAGACAGATTTCTCAATAACCTGTTCTGAAATGAAATATATGACTCCTGTGACCCCATGGCACACTAGTAAATAAGAGAAATCGTATTTCTCATCATCTCTCTGAGTGCTTGTTCACTGTTTCATAGCTGGATTAAACTGAGTTTACAGTAATGGGGATCTTTTGGAAAAATGTGTGCCTGTAGTTACCAGTGCAGTAGTCTGTTGCATAAAGTCTGGAACACAATGCAACTTATTCTGCAAATCAGAATATTTAGTTCTGCTTGTGGATTACTTAGTTTACTTACTCAAGCAAAGATTTGATGCCACTATCCTTGCAAACTGTAGCAAATTCAGTGGTTATTTCATTGGGGAAAAAAAGTTTCTCTGTATAACAACACAGATATACGTGTATATAAAGCTGGCTATTAAAGAGCTGACTAATCTTGGGCATGCAGTCACTCATTTAGAATCAGATTCATTAATGTGAGAACAAGGTTAAGAACAACTAATGTGTGTCACATGTGTTGTGAATTGGATGAAAAAGTTGTGAAAGTTCTCCTGTGCATGCAAATTCATAATGATGTGAGACTGAGAAATATGATGCAGTTCATTCTTTATGTCTTTCCTCTTCAGCTTGGCATTGCTATTGGCTTCTTGATCCCGCCGGTTCTTGTGCCCAACGTGGATGACATGAATGAACTGGCTCAACACATCAGCGTCATGTTCTACATCACAGCCGCTGTGGCCAGCCTCATCTTTCTGCTGGTCGTGTTTGGTAAGACCATCCACAACAGCAGCATAAATGTGACTCTGGAGCACAAAACCAGTCATAAGGGTCAATTTTTTTAAATTGAGTTTAATACAAAAAAATCTAAATATTGAGAAAATCATCTTTAAAGTTGTCCAAATTAAGTTCTTAGCAAAGCACATTACTAATCAAAAATTAAGTTTTGATATAATTACGGTAGGACATTTACTAAATATCTTCATGGAACATGATCTTTACTTAATATCCTAATGATTTTTGGCATAAAAGAGATATGGATAATTTTAACCCATACAGTGTATTGTTGGCTATTGCTACAAATATACCCCAGCGACTTCAGACTGCTTTTGTGCTCCAGGGACACAAATGAAAATCTAACAGGACTGATGCAGTGACAACTGTTTTTAATCAACATGAAAAATCTGATAATAAAACCTGCTCTGCTTTTTAACATAAAAACGTGAGTGTGCCACACTACTTTAAGGAATAGTCCTTTCATTCATACACTCATGTCATCATCTTGATTATGAATGCCCAAACGTGCGTAAATACATACATACATAATAGGTATTTGACTGCTTCGTCATTTATTTTTTAATTCTCCTGGTATTACATTTACTTATGTATTTTTCTGCAGGTTTGGGTCTCTATATCTGTTCCTATAATTCTTAGATGATTTAGATCAGTTTTGAGATTTGCTTTTACAAAGTCATTTGTGTCATTATTGAAGTAGTGAAAAATATGGAAATGGATTATGATTTGGTTTTGACTACTTGGAGGAAACACAAGCAGAACCAATTTCTGTGGAAACTGCTTAATAAATCCAATTTTATGTCTTAATGCAACAATTTGCATAAGTGGTGTTTACAAGCAATTTACTGCTCATGTTTCATGAACATGGCTCAATGTTTTTGCCCTATGATGATAGTTTTCAAGTAAATCGAGTCATGTTGATTGATATCCAGATAGTGTTTAATAAAATATATTGTTTTGAGTTGTATTTTTCAGTTTCTTTTGCCGTATACATATGTTTGAATAACTACTGTATGTGCTGCAGTGTTTCAGGAAAAGCCTGAAATCCCTCCGTCTCTGGCTCAGGTAGCGCTCAGAGACGTGCCCACCGCTCAGTACTCATACCTGGCTTCAATCGCAAGACTTTTCCGCAACAAGCCCTTCATCCTCCTCCTCATCAGCTATGGTACACACTGATAAATCTTATTCACATGCGTATTAACTTAAAGCACATTCTACCTTGAGAGTGCTACATCTGCACTATTAGTGTTCTAATAGTGTTTTTCTCAGTGTTAACTTATCATTTTCTTGCATTCATTTCATTTTCTTTTATAAAGAGGGGAGTGGGTGATGTATTTGTGCTACTGAATATTTGTGAATCTCACTAAAACAACAATGAACAGACAAATGCTCACTTACTGTAATGGCTCTGCTCCAAACCAAGTAAGTTGCCTTTGTAATCAGCATTTGAAGACCCCATATAGACATATTATTTCCTCCAGAATTAAAAAAAAATCAACATGATGTAGAGATAGACAGCAAGGCAGCTCTAGGTTTTGGATCAGGATACAGAGATACATAAATTATTGGTGGTCAAAATGCACTTTTAGTTACTTTGACTTCCATTCATGCATGCAAATGCATGGGACCAAAAATGCAAGCTCATGCTAAGGTTTGCATGATTCATGATTATGGATTTTCAGATGCAAGATTATTTGTTATATGTTTTTAAAAAGGTGCTGCAGAGTGTGATGTCATGTTCTACAATGTCTGAAATTCCACATGTATATTCATGTGTATACATGTGATATGTCACATGTATGTTCTGTTTTGTTCTATTCTAGTTTAGTTTTCTGTTCCCGTTTGCCTGCCTGGGTTTCTAGTTAGTTTCCTTAGTTGTTAATTAGTCACTCACCCCGGTTCTGTTTTTCCTTGATTGCACTTCTAGGATTTAAGCCCTGTGTTCCCATCTGTTCCTTGTCCGGTAGTGTTTGTGTTTCAGTTGTTGTGTCGTATTTTCTCCTGTATTCCTGTTGGATTTACTGTTAGCTTAGTGTTCTCCTGCGTCGTGCGTTTACTACAGCGCAACACCGTTACATACTGTTAGAGTTTTTATTAATAGTTTGATTTATTTTTATTTTTATATTGTCTGTTTTCATTTGAATGTTTTAGTAACTGTCATTGTCTTTAAGTAATTGCAATGAGAAATGTTGCATTGGCAACCTGCGAAAATAAAATGTTACTTTTTCATATTTAATTTCAAGCAAGAAAAGTTTTGTTTTTTTTTGGTTTTAGTTTTGGTTAACTAAAATAACGCTGACTTACAAAAAAAAAAAAAAAAAGAAAAAAAAGTGTGGTTTTTGTTCCTAACATTTGACCCTGGTTGGATGCTGACTATGCTAGCTGAATGCAAAATCAAATTAGACGAAATATAATAGAGGTGCAGGCAGGACCGGATTAACACACAGGCCTAGACCAGAGAGGGGCCCAGCCAAATTACTGCTTCCCCCGGATTCACATGATTTCAACCGAAACTTTATGCATGATAGGTGCTTCAATTCTACAGAAATCTGCATAATTTGATGCATGTAAAATGTGCATGATTCTCCCAAGTGAAATTAGAATTGGCCTCTCTTTAACTGAAATTACCTCACATTTGAAATTATACTTTGTCTTTAAAACTGTGTCAAAAAGTGTGTCAGTTCTGCGACACTAGAATCTCCAAAACTAGAACTGTTCAAACAGGTCTCCCAGTTGGGCTGCTTAAACAACCAGATTGCAATCCTTTTTCAATGCTGCTCTTAGTGGTGCAGAATCTACACATCATTTAAACTATCAATTTGTCATTTTACCGAATCATTTTTTGAATCCTGTGGTTCATATTTATTTGACAGCATGTTTTTCTCTGTTTGTGCTTCCCAGGACTAAACGTTGGATGTTTCTATGCCGTTTCCACCCTGTTGAACAGGATGATAATAGAGCATTACCCTGTGAGCATCCTCGAGTCCTTATCATCCTCACCCACTCTACAGACACAGGATAGCAGTAGCTGAGCTTCGAAATGATGCATATACACTAACAAAGAAGTATCACCATGCTATTTTTGGAGATGGTACAATTGTAACAGCATGGTATTTTTGAAGTTCCATTTATATGGTAAATGATTATGATAATTGTTCAGCACTATAGGAATATCACCTTGCTTTTTATTTGCTGAAAACATATAATGTATCATGCTATAAGTTCACTGTGAATATCTGAATCATATTCTCTGTGAAAGTCTGACAGTAGTACTCAATTTCAGCTCAGACTCAGTGTATTGGGTCGTCTAAACACCGTGGACTGAAGTGCATGAGATCATGGTCTTACAGGGTGATATATTAAAGATATCTCAGATGTTATTATTGTCTGAAGCACAGGGTGAAGAGGTGAATGCTGGGAGAATTGGCTTGACTCTCGTCATCGCTGGCGTGGTCGGCTCTCTGCTCTGTGGAATCTGGCTAGACAAGACCAAGACTTATAAGTAAGTCATGCATTTTCTGTTGTTTCATTTCCCCCTGAGGTCCACATATGACAAAGTTTTTTATTTTATGTTGTGTTCTGGTCATTTTGACCTGGAGTATCAGACTAAAACTTACTTTGCTTACAAATGGTATAACACCCCATCCCCCCCACACCCTCACCCCCCACACCAAAAATTGATATTTTTGTAACATTTTGGAATTTATTTTCCCCACAGAATGACCAGCCTACAAGAAATATATGCTTATAAGTGAATCATTATGCTATATTACAAAATATTGGATTTAATATTTGTAATCTTCTTTCAGTTAGCACAGGGTTTGTATTTCTTTTTGGGACTGATTGACTGTAGGCCAAACTGATCATTGATTGGTTTTTGAGTAAAAAAAAAAAAAAGAAAAATCATTATTTGTGGATAATTTTAGCAATGTTCATTCAAAAATTGAGGTGCATAAACTCAGATCAACGAGGCCTACGATCATTTTTTTAAAGTACAAAACCAAATTGACAAAAGAGTTGGTGATAATATAGCATAATGATAGATTTTCAAACAATTTGTAAAAGGCAGGTCATTTTTGACTGTAAGCACTGAATTGGGTAAAGGATTGTGAGCGCAACACAAGCTCCAAAAAGAGTGGTTTTCATTTTTAATGCAGCTGCTTGAGTTTGTGTTATATTTTTTGTCTTGTATCGCATGCGCATTTGTGTAATTTAGTGATAGTAATAAACATAAAATGTCCAGACATTTAAGTATCACAGCTTATATCACTTTTACTAGTATACACGGTAAAAAATATATTTTTCAAAATTTGTAAATAGAAGATTACAGGAGTACATTTTACAGGAAAATACTTTAATATTTAAAAAAATGATCAGTGTGTTACTTGCCTTTTTTGGCATTTTCTTGTGAAATTTACTAGCAATTTCTGAGGGAAAATAGTTTCAAATTAAATCCTACACCAATTTTTGTTACAGTGTAGATCTTTCAATAGACTGACTTATCTCCCCGAGACTTTTCCTAAATTGTTCAAACTCTTAACTTTGACTCATGTTGAGCAGCAGAATGACTGTAATGCGCTTTCCTCTATAACATAGCCTCTGTTTCTCCTAATCTCGTCATGTGTGAGAGGATTTACTAGGACAGATCAGTGGTTACTGGGTTTATTACTCACACTTGATTCAAGAATAGGTTTATGGAGAACTCTCTCTGGTCTTTACATTCAGTGACTCTCAATCCTAAATACAGTATGTGCTTTCAGCCTTGCAGAGTACCAATAATTATTCATTGTTACTAACGTTATTTCAATCCTGTCACTGTAAGCTTGGACTTAACTGACTTGTTATTTGAGTAGTAGCTGAATAAATTCTGGTTGTAACAGTGTACCCTATGTGCAAATCACACACTGCAATTGAAATAAATATTTTGATAATGTTTTTTGCTAACCCCACTAAATTCAAAATGTTTGAAGGTTGAACATTATGGGTGGAAGAGCAATGCACAAATGTCTAAATGCCTTAGCAAATATCATTCCATCACACTCATCATTTACAGTCAATATGTTTGTGCTTTGTGCCAAGAACAATATTTTTCAATAATCAATTAATCACTATGCTTTTTTCCATAACAAATTAAAACAATATTGTGATAAATATCAGTCAAATATCAGTTGTGATAAAAGAGCTCAAAGACTCAAGATTAAATGGCATGGCGGATTAACCCATAAGAATTAGCTTTGTACATACAGTATAACTTGATGTAAATAGGTTTATTCAGTGATTTTAAGTAATTTTTAACTTGAATAAGACCAGAATTGTTTCTCAGTGTAAGATGAGAATGTGCCTTGAAATGAAAAAGGCCCAAGACCTCTAATTACCATCACTGTGACATGAACAACACACATATATTTAACTAACTAAACAACATAAACCAGATTAAATGGAGCTAAAACCTCTATTCATTATGACAGCTATTTACACAGCCCCATACATATTTAATGTGTTCAGGAGCAAGGGATTATGGGTTTCCCCCAGCCACAATGCTTGCTGGAAGATTTATGAAAGTCTTTTTAACTCAACAGTATTTACACCAGTCAGTGCACTATAGAAATCAATGCAATCAGTGTTTGTCTTGTTGCTTGGCAAATTGGATTGAAGAAAGGCGAGAGTTGGTTTGTTTTTAAAATGTAAACTGCTTTTCTTCCAATGAAAGCACAAGTTTAATTAGAGAAAGCATGAATAACCCACTTAAACGACAGGTGTTTTACACTGTCAGATTATATGGCACTAAAACTGAACAAGTGACGGCAATTTGAATATCCTTTGAGAGCTCTGAGAAGCAGCATTGACCTCATGTGGAAACTTTCCTGCTTGTAGAATATTGATTAACATCGGTGTTCTCCGTTTACAGAGTTATCATCCACCTCCTGATATTAATGGATGCTTATTGTCTGTGAATGCATTCTTTCCGTATCCATCATGAAGGCTCTTCACTGTAGTGGTCTCACTTATCTCTTGTGAAGTGCTGGTTTGAAAACTGCCTGTTCAATGAGCACACGTCATTCTGGTGCTTGTAATCGGCTCAGAATTGTTTGAGTCAGAATCGCCCCCGGCAGATCCCAACAGCAGCGGTGAAGTGGGACGTTTTCTTACACGTGGTTGTACAGAACAGCTTCATAATATATTGTTTATTTAGAGGGAGCTAAAGACATAAAAGACCTACTTACATGTACAGGAATTTTGTTTTTCCACTGAGGCTGGTTAAGATTAAGAAATACATGCTTTTCCTAGAAATATGTGTGGATTCGTGCCACGGCGGCCTGACGGATTCTTCAGGCATGAGACAAATCGTGTCCCATAACTTAACATTTCCACTTTAATATTCATCACAGATGATCACTACAATGTTCTCAACACAAATCTACCATTTAGTTTGATTTTCTATTTATTTGATAAAAATTATAACATTACATAACGCACTCCTGCAAAAAGTGACTGTTCTCAATAACTCAATACTTAAAGCATTATTCAATTTAGATTAAAATCTAGATTTAACTAAAAGATATATGTGTGTATTTTAAAAGTAACATAGTTACCATATTCTGTCAGGAATAACAGGTTTATTCTGAAAATATACCTTTTTACTGTAAAGTTTTACATCTGTGTCCCTATGTCTTGCAAACACTGTCAAATTCAATTAAATTAATTTCTAAAATCAGGCAATATCAAAACCACTCTTCATCTTGCCTTGACATTGGCAATTTTTTTTCCATGTTTCACAACAATTGTGTTAAAGGGTTAGTT